AAAAAAAAAAAAAAAAAAAAAGAAGAAAGAAATTCAAATAGTTACCCAGCTGGAAGGCTCACTCCTTAGCACTGGGTCCACCCTCTCACCAGGCACTCAGCACAATCTCCTAATATTGTTGTGGCTGTGAGTTGACTGCCCGCCTGTAGGTAGGGAGAAGGGAAGATTGGCAGGAAAGGGGCACAAGGAAACTCTGGGGTGATGGAAATGTCCTGTATGTTGACCTGGACGTTAGTCAAATGGGGTACATTTGTCAAAATGTACACTTAATAGCTGTACATTTTTACCATGTATAATTACAACTCAGTAAAAACTGAGTATAAATAAATAAGTAGCAAAATTCAATTTATTTTGAAAAACTTATTTTTATTCTGATTTTTCAATGTGTTTTTTACCTCAGTATTCTAGTACAGGTACCAGGAGAGAACACATCAAAATTACGTCTGACCCTCAGCCAGGCTTCCTGGAACGGCTGAGCGAGACCTGGGGCGGGATGTTTATGGGGCTCGTGGCCTTCCTGTTCTCCTTCTACATAATTTTCACCAATGAGGTAAAGTATCTGGGGTCCCCCTGTGCAGGGTGAGAGTCCACACAGTGTCAAAGAGCAAGGGCTGTGAATCCAGAGGGTGGATTTGGTAGTAAAGGGCCTAGATATTATAAAGGAGAAAGAGGGACGCTGAATTCATCAGAATTTTTTCTGATTGTGACCCACCTCACAGCTGATGTAAGCGGAGAGGAGAATGGATCAGTCCATTCACCTGAAAATCCGGGCAGGAGTGGGTAGTACCCACTTCAGGCATGGTTGGATCCAGATGTTTATGCTGGGTCACCAGGAATCTCCATTTTTTCATCTCTTGCCTGTTTTTCTCTGTTGTGGTGTTTTTCTCGGACAGGTTTTTCCTTTGTGGTGGCAAAGGTGGCTCTGGCAACTCAGGCTCACATCCAACCATCTTAGCAATCCCAGAGAAAAGAGGAACCATTTCCTTTTAAATCAATTTAGCAAAAATTGCAGGGAGATCTCTCAGTGTCCTGGCTCGGGTTTCAGTCCTTTGAACCAATCCTCATGGCCAGGAGACACATGTTCTGATGGGCGAGGCCTGGGTCATATGATCTGGACAGCAGTTCAGATTGGCTTATGTAAACCACATGGACTGAGAGAAGGGGAGAGAAGAGGGCAGAGGAAAGTGAGGGAAGGGTACAGGGTAAGCAGAAGCACATTCTCAACATGGGGGCAATGCTGAGACGGGTGGGGGGCTACTAGGAACAGGTGGGGTGGCAGGAAGAGGTCTGCCTGGAAAAGCAGGAATCTTGGGTTCCATTCCTGACTCTTCCACTTGCTAGACCTCAGTTTTCATCCATACAGTGGAGAAATGGGGCTCAATGCTCGCTGAATCCTGCCCTGATACACTGCAATGAGCACAACTGTGTTGAGCCACTCCTGAGATGTTGACATCACTTGCCCCCCTTTGCTTACAGGGCCGTGCATTGAAGACAGCAACCTCACTGGCCGAAGGGCTCTCGCTTGTGGTGTCCCCCAACAGCATCCACAGCGTGGCTCCAGAGAATGAAGGGAAGCTGGTACACATCATCGGGGCCCTGCGGACGTCCAAGGTAGGCTTGGAGGTGGTTGCTGGCCTGTAGTAGCTTAGGGCACATCTCTGGGTGTTGTCTGGTTGAGAATTTGAAAGCAAGAGCCTTGGAGACACACACACATGGGTGTGATTCCCAACTCCACCTCTTAGCACCTGTGTGGACTTGTCATTCCTGAGGCTCATCTGGAAAATGGGGACAATAATGGTAACAAGCTCGTGGCCAGTTGTGAATATTCAGTGAGATTAGGTTGCTGACCTCTTGGCACAGGGCCTGGCATGTGGAATGAACTTCATAAATAGGTGCTCTCATGGTCATGATTAGCATGTATGTCTAGTGCAATGCTAGAAAACTCTTTGATTATTGGAGCCTTCCTGTTATTTGAACACCCAGTGCACTGCTGTGGACATGGTGCCACTGGGCTGTGCAGCCCAAGCCTGTACTACGTGTTGTGGCACCAAGAGTTAAAAACTTGGGACAGGCAGCTTCACTCAGTTCTCCCACATGAAGCAGCATAGAATTCTTCGTTCTTGTCGCTGTTCTCTGTTTTTCTTTCTCTTCCAGTCCAGCTTCCCCTGAGCCGGGGATTCTGGGCTGATGTGAGTCTTATCCTTTATTTTTTTCATTTGTTTGATTCTTTTTGAAGCTCTTGTCTGATCCAAACTATGGGGTCCATCTTCCGGCCGTGAAGCTGCGGAGGCACGTGGAGATGTACCAGTGGGTAGAAACAGAAGAGTCCAGGTGAGCTGCCAGGAAGCAAAACATCAACTGGGGCAAAAGAGGTGCAGGGTTAGGGCAGAATGCAGGTGGCGTTCATGTGATGCCTCTGAAAGTATAAATCTTTCCCAGAGAAAGGAGGAACCACCAAAGTATAAAATCTTCCTATCAGAAAAATGTCAGAGGATCCCAAAATTATTAGCTAGTGATCTTTTATTTGGAGATGGCAAAAAGCCAATGCAGAGTGGCTTTAAGAAGAACAGGGTTGATTAGCTCTCTCATCTGGGAAGTCCCAGGATGCACCAGCGTGAGGTGTGACTGGATCCAGGCCTCAGACAATGTCATTAGGATCGGTGTGCCTCACCCACCTCAGTCTCTGTGCCCAGCTTTCCCATGTGGTGGTTCCATGGTCTCTCCCACCATGGGACAGAAGGAGCAGAGGTGGGCTCCCGGCTTACATCTTGTCAGCTCTAACAGAAGTCCCAGGGCAGACTGTCATCAATCAGGCTGGCATCACCTGGAGCTGGGGGTGGTCTAAGCCCCACCTGAACCACATGGACTGTGAGTGAGGGGTGGGTAGGTGGCTGGAGGAGCTGAAAGCAGCTTCAGGGGGCCTTCCATAGGGCTGTCCTGGAGCAGAGGGTGCAGCCAGATCTCTGAGCCCAGAGGGCAGGCCTGGGCCCCTCCCTGTAAGCCAGGTGGCAGCAGACCTTGGCTCAGGATGAGAAAGCACTTTTCTCCTGTTGGCCTTGGAGGGATGGGCCTGGCTGTCTGCCAGAGAGTAAGAGCCCTGTCCCTGGGCTGGTGCAGACAAGGCTTCTGCTCCATTTGGGGAGTTTGGCCCTATAGGCCCAAGGCTGCTTCCGGCTGGAAGGACTTAGAGGTTAGAATGGCTTGGGGTGACTGGGCTGACTCTGGTGGCTGTCTGTGCTTTCTCTGCAGGGAGTACACCGAGGATGGGCAGGTGAAGAAGGAGACGAGGTACTCCTACAGTGAGTACTGGGCCCCACTGCACGTGAGGTGTCTGCCTGGGGCCGAGGCCAACAGCAGTGGGCTGTGGGAAGGGCGCAGTGCCAGCCATCAGAATCCCTGGGTGCCAGTCCTCAGAGCCCTGCCCCGTCACCCATCCAGGGAGGCCCCAGTGTCACAGACTCAGATGAGAGGACCTGGAGTCAGTGGGCCTTAGCCATGTGGTCACTCTTACCCTGGTTTCTGAGTTGTTCCATCTCCACAAGCAGACACTGAATGGAGGTCAGAAATCGTCAACAGCAAAAACTTCGACCGAGAAATTGGCCACAAAAACCCCAGGTAAGAGCTAGGCCCCAGGCCTAAGCACAGCCCTGCCTACCACCAGGGTAGGTGTCCAGCCCCAGTTTGTTCCTGCATAACAAGACTGAGTTAATTCAATGGAATAATGAAAATGTGGGATGTGGTTTTGAAGCCAAGCCCTGTGCTGGGCACCAGGAACACGGAGGCAAGACCCAACTCCCCTAACACCAGACAAGCTCCCCTCAAACAAGTCACCAACATAAGGCATGGACTGAGTGCTAAAGGGATTTGCACGTACAGTGTCAGGGAAGCATTTGGTTGACAATTATCCAGAGGTGGGAGGACAATCAGGTAG